TCCTTGTTCTATGTATGTATACACACACACACACACACACACATACACTAGTTTAATAATGCGCGTTGCACGTTTGTGGTAATGCCCAGTGCCAATGTAGGGACAACAATATCTGAGTTAAGGTTTAATGAAAATATGACTAATATGAGCACAACAGTTTGAATACATAATTTGTTATTTATGGATAACGAATCATAAACAATAAAGCATTTAGAGGATAGAATATATGTGGGAAAATAAAATAGTCAAGATGATTATAATAAACATAATAGTAGTGACATTCACATGAAACAGTAGCATGTATTTGTGTTTTACATGAAAACACACATAATAAACACAAAATATTTTAATCAGAGAAATAGTCAAATATTTATTGGGCTTTAGCGCTTGAAGAAAATTAAAGCATAAATTCTAAGAAAATAGTTCGAGTAATAGAAGTAGTGGGAAATAGTGATAAGCAATCAAGCTTTTTTCTTGCGCTTGAGATCAACAAGGGAGTCCTCTACTCCCGAGTGTGGGAGCTTCATCTTTGATGAAGGTGGAATTGGTGGATCAATGTTGGTTGTAACAATGTAATGAGATGCATCATGCAAGGATGTTATGGTGTAGGAGGGTTCTGGCTTGCTTTGATAGGTACTTGATTGTGACATCAACTCTACAATATATTCTTCTTTATCCAAGCGCTTATTTGCATATTGAAATGATGCCTTCTTTCCCTTCATAATTTATAAAGAGGGGTCAACATATTGTTTAGTGTGAAATTATAGTAGTTCATATTAAATGTTCAAGTGTTCTCTAATGTCCTTTTAACAGGCTAATAATTGGACCATCTCAATTAGTTAACTTTTTTGCTGGTAATTAATGGAGATTAAAGAGATTGTATTTTTCAAGACAACCGAAAGCACTCAGAGGAGGTATAGCTAAACTCAACGAATACGTATATATATGGAATATGTATGTAAATAAGCAATTTCAGTCACAACAAAAAAAAAACAGACTGCGGTGAATGAAATCCAGCTTCCATTGGTATGTATAAAAAACACAGTGAATGAAATCTAGCTTCCATTGGTATGTATAAAACACAGTGAATGAAAAAGAATCGTGTACCAGAAGAGGAAAAAACTAAAATAGCATATGAGGGTGCGGGGTGATTATCCCGAGAACTGGGATAATCAAATAGTGACACATAATGACACAATGACACCCTGTTTTTTTGGCATATAACAATACTTTTGGCCATCCTGGTTCTGGAAGGATATATCCTTTCCTGTCTAATCGATCTGTTGCTTTACACTTTTATAGTTTATTATTGTTGCTGAATGTAAGGTTGGAATTGGTTTTTAGCTTCATGAGTCTTTCTTTATTCTGTTTTTTTTTTCTCGCATGTTTTTAAGGTTCAATTTATTTAGATTTTGTGCATTCTACTTGATGTTTTTTCAGCCTATTTTCATATCATTATAGTACCACAATGAGTTTGTTCAGAAAAAAACATTTGAAGGACAATGAGAGGGATAAGTCTGTTTATTTAGTTTCTAGCTAAGTTTTGTAGGTGTAACCATTCTGATTTCCCCTACATCATTTTTTTTGTTAAAACTCATTTTTTACCTTCTTTTCCCATTTACCCAGAAAAGTATATGTAGTTAGTACATACAAACAAAATATGCTTTGGGATAGGGCAGGTAGTGCAAGAAGTGAAGTGCTTTGGTCCATTGTGGGAGCAGACTTCTAGTGACTTCAATCTGCATGTCTAGCTAGCTAACAAGATTTTTGGGAGTGTATTAAGTTTATATATAACCTAGTATTACAACGCAAAACAAATTAAAGCTAGGTAATCCAAATCAGGCCTCACTTATCCAACAACACTAAATGACAGTAAAGTATTTTTTATAGGTTTACTTTCAGAGCCTATATATTAAAAATCTTTTTTCTAAACTCTATTAGTGATGCTTTGGAAATGTTTTCAAGGAAAGGCAAGGATCGTTTTGACAGTAAGGTGAAATGATTTTTAAATTTCTTCCTATCAAGTTATCGGATAATATGGCAAAGTTCTTTATGTGGCATGATATTAAGTAATGTATATTTTGAGAGGTGTGGAGTTTTCTGAGTTCCAAAGCTGTCTCTAAGAAAAAACCCAAGGGGAAATAGAATATGAAAGATTAAAGATGCAAATCCCCTTGCTTAAAGTGATGAAAGTAGATACTCCGAACAAAATTAAAATGACTTAAACAGTTGGAAGACACTCCAAACAATTAAAGTAAATAAATAATCTCTTGTGGACATTTTCCCAATCACGTATCATCTATTCAAATCAAGCTTGCGCTCCTCTCTAAGTGTGAGAATTACTTAATTAACGAACTTCATCAATTTTTTTAACTTTGTTCAAAATATTGATGCAATGTGTGTTGACATAGTAATGAGTTGATAAGAAAGGTTTACATTTGAATGCACCAATGATGCTAACCAGACCCCCTACCTTAAATCATACATATGTTTAACTTTTAGTCTCACAAACACTTATGGAAATAATGTCAAAGGACATAATCAGGGAGATCTTTATTGAAAGGTTGGTAAGTTATTACTTATTAGCTTTCAGTCCAGGTGTAGCAGTAGGAACGCTCTAGCCTAATTAATTTATGATACATTGAGATCCAAAAACTTCAACTTAACACAACTTTTGAACCGAAAAAAAAAACTAAATGTAGGAGGCTGCATGTTTAACTATAGAGTTCATAAAATTTAAAATCTTTTGTAATCGGAAACCAGAAGATTTTTTTACTCCACATAACAAGAAAAACTCTCCCCAAAAGTATGATTTTCAAGACCATATCATCTATTGACAGAATCTTGAAGTCCATCTCTTGCTCTACAATTTGAAAAGGTATCACACACTTCTCTACCACTTCCTCCTTTCTAGGGGTCATGTTATCTTCCACAGTCAAAACTAAGTCTGGTTTTCCCCCAACAAACATCAAACCTCACGCGACATAGAGCATGTGTTACTGATCATAGAGATTTTCATACGTAAAACTACACTTCCCAATGAAATAACAGTATAATTGTTATGTTCAAGTATTATTATATTGATGGTTGGTACTAACATTAAGTACAGCAACAACAAAAATACAAGTGAACCTTCATAGACTTATTAGATTTAGGCTATATGGTGATCTATGCAACAAATGAGCGTTGCTAGAAAATTTTAAATAGTGATATTCAATAGTAGTGTTAGAAATTTATTTAAAAGTAGACTCCATAGCTAAAATTAGACATCAAAAATAAATTCTGAAACGATTGCAAATATAGACACCTTTTGAAACCCAAATACAATGGAAGGTGGGAAATTGTCTTACCTCCAGATGAAACACTTTGAGCTCAAACCGCAAACAAGCTGTCAAGCAAAAAAAATTAAAAAGTACATAGAAGATGAAATTAGTCTATGAAAGATAGAACTCTGAATACGACCCGTAGCATTTTTAATTAAATACTGCTGCTCAGCATTTAGAAATGTCTAGACAGATTCTTTTAAGCCATTAAAGCTTTTGAACTTTCCAAAATAAGAACTGAAACTACCCAAACTACAGTCAAAAAACACTTCTGACAGACCGTAAAGTAGAACCACAGAGGGATTATGAAGCTGTAAACGTACATGGTGCAGGCCCAACAAGGTAACATGGCATCATCAGTTAATTAACTATTAAAAACATGAACATAGCATTTAGTTTTCGTTTGATCTGAAAATTAACATGGGTCTAAATGCTTCTGTTTCGTTTTTTCATTACTCGGAGAAGCTTCAAATCTATATAGCTTTTTATATCTTTCTATATAGCTTTTTTATACAAAAAATTGCCCTTAAGGAAAATAAAAAGGGTGACTCTTATTCTGAAATCAGTATAATCTTATTTTAGATATATATCTATTTTTCTAAAATGAAAAAGAGTCAGCTTCATGCATTCTGCCATTTAACTTTAGGTTTAGGATACTATATTTTCACTGGGCAACACACAATCGGAAATAGGTCCATATTCAAAACACTTGATTCTGAATGACAGCATTATTCAAACTTTCACATTTATATGAGTTGTTCTCTTTCACATTACTTTTAGGTGTTTAGAAACTTATGGTTTTCCATTCATGTGGAGTTCTAAACCATATATATTAAAATCTTAGGTCCTTTTTACATGGATATTTTCTGTGCTTAACAAACCTTCTCACCTTATGATTTTCTCAGAGTTAGCTCTGGACCATTATGAGCAGAGGAAATTTATTTGATTGACAATTTTATCTGTGTCGGTGAACCCAAATTGATGATACATATAACAAAGAATATTCCAAAAAGTTTTGTTTCACTGTTTTCCTTTTTATTTAGTTTGATTTTATAAGTTTGTATTCCGAGTTGCCATATCCCTGAGGTACAAAGAAGGAACCTTAGTGAAAAGAGAGTGTTTGAATTGAAACCAAGACTCACAATGGCACATGATACCAAAAATATAATTAGTATGACTCACTTAAATCAAGCACTCCTTTTAAATCCCAAGTTACCTCAAATAGGTTGGTAATGAGTTTTCAGTTTTATCACCAAAAATACCAATCAAGTGAAAACAAAATATGAAAGTTTTCAGATTTAAGAAAATTGTGCTAGTCACGTTTTAAACTAAGTTGAAGGCTCTTTTTAAACTGTGTTATAAATACATAGTAGATTGTCATAATGCCTATGGTTACTGGTTTAGTAAGGCAGAACACTGCAAAATCCAAAATAAACCAGGGTAGGTGTAAATAGAGGTTGAAGAATAACAAATTACTTGATTTCGTGTGGACATTTAAACACACACATAGAGGGCACAATTATAGAGGGGAAATTACACAAAGGCAAGATGAATTTATCAACTAAAGCTACCCAAACTACAGTAAAAAACACTTCTGACAGACCGTAAAGTAGAACCATAGAGGGATTTGGGAGGCCTGTAAAAATGAATATACTAAACTAAGTAGTTTACTCGCTACTCGGTAGCAACTCGGTCAAGGGCCGAGTAGCGAGTAGGACCGATTACTCGGGATTACTCGGTGAGTACTCGGCCTAGTATTAATTAAATATAATAATATATTTAAATATAGTAGTCTTAAAATATAGTAATAAAATTGTCTTTAAATTGTCTTAAAATGCATAGAAGTGAATAAAAGGATAGAAATCCTATTATCCTAATGATGGCGTAGCAAATGTCATAAAGCAAAAGTGATAAAACAGTCAATCTTCTAATAAGTTGGTCTGATATTAATCTTCATTGGGTTCAAGGTCGTGATTTTCGTCTTCATCCTCCATGTCCCCAAATAGATCTTCTCCAAATAGATCTTCAGTAGTCAGATTCCCCACTTGTTCTTCCTCTTCCACTTCCGGGTCATCTATATCAATATCAAGCAGTCTATACGCAGACTGTGATGCATTCACATTCCCCCTTCTGTTTTGACTCCTTGTGTTTGTCCGTGCCTCAGTTGCTTGTTGTGCTGCTCGTACTTGTTCCCAAGTCAGATCATCACCTTGATTGACAAGGTCTTGAAGTGCTTCATCATCTGGAACAACCCAATCATCATTTTCATCAACTTCCCTTAAGAATATAGGATCATAACTCTTACTGCCAACATTGTGCTTTCTCTCAAAAAACCGTTGCTGCAGCTTTTTGTTGTACTGGATGTAGACAAGATCATTTAACTTTGATTGCAGCAAACGGTTTCTCTTCTTTGAATGTATCTAAAATGTTGCACATGAAACAACACATGAAATACATGTTGGAAAAGTCACATGATCAAGTATAATATGCCCTGAATGAAATAAGTTAAGTATATTCAATACTACTATACTAAATGAGTAAATGACGCACATGATCAAAGGCACTCCAATTACGCTCACATGGTGAGGCGCTACAGGTTTGACTCAAAACCTTGAGTGCAAACATTTGGAGATTTGGCACATCAGACCCATACGAAAGCCACCATTCATCTACAAATTATTGAATTAATTAAATTATAACTAATTTACACAATATTATAAGTAAATAAAAATGAAAGATGATTAATTAATTAGTATAGTGTAATAGTGGAGATGGAAACTTACTGGGTGGGACTTTTTCCCTAGCTCTCACAGCCATAGATGATCCTAGAGACCCACTTGCAGATCTGTAAAGTACCAAGTCACTGCTAATACTGTCAAGTGCATCTTCATCTACGAGCTTTTGTATTGCTTCTAAGAGCCCGGCTTTTATCTCTTTGTTTGACTCCATCTTCGTCAAATCATGCTTATAAAAAATGCTTGGATTTAGGTAATAACCGGCTGCACAAGTGACAAGACTCATAAATCATAATGAAACTATATTATTAAATATTAACTAAGTATTAAAATATACTTTAAATTATACAGATTGTAAAAAATGAAGATTACAGTAAGAAAAAAATGAAAAACAGTTTGTAAAGAAAACAAAGAGAAGATTACAGTAAGAAAAAATGAAAACAGTTTGTACCTGCGTGCAAAGCGTGATGGAATTTATTATTCCATCTATTATCAATTGTCTGCCATACTTTTGCACAAGTGAAATGGTCATTCCCAAGATTCTTTTCAATTTGGTCTTTTGATCTATCCATAGATTCATAGATATAACCCATACTAGGTTTCTCTTTTGTATCCACCAATCTTATGACATCAACCAGTGGAGCCAGGACTTGACAAGTAAAATAAACATTATCCCAAAAAGTCTGCCTTGCCACTATTCTTGCAATTTTTTTTCCATCAGCCTTCTGTGCAAACTCACTTTTGGTCCATTTTTCAGAAACAAATAAAACTTGCAAATGACACCTATTCTCCCAAATACTCTTACGAGTATAAAACGCAGTAGCAAACCTGGTTACACATGATCTATGCAACTCTCTCCCGCTTGTTAACTTTCGCATTAGGCTCAGTATCCTCCCATGATTATATATATAAACAACCATTGCTTTACCTTCACGTAAAGCATTTTTTATCTTGGGCAACTTATCACCAAGATCTTGCAACATCAAGTTCACACAATGTGCAGCACAAGGGGTCCAATACATCTTAGGATGTTGTTCTTCTAAAATCCTTCCCGCTGCCTTGAAGTTAGATCCATTATCGGTGATGAACTATTAACATTTAACATGAAAAAAAACTGAAATTAGTATTAATTAATAAATGACTATAAGTTAATCTATAGACAATAGATTTAGAATTTATAATTGATCACCTGAACTATATTCTCCTCTCCCACATGTTCAATAATCTCATTAATCAGCCCCACAATGAGATTTGCATCTTTCACATGCTCAGACGCGTCTACAGACTTCAAAAAAACTGTTCCTTTTGGACAGTTTACCAAAAAGTTGATCAATGCGCTTCCTTTACCATCTGTCCAAAAATCTGACATAATAGAGCATCCATATGTCTTCCAGTGTGCTCTGAATGATTCAACAAATTCTTTTGTTTTGACAAGATGCTTGTTTAACAGAGTATGGCGGTATTGATGATAGCTGGGTGCTGGCATACCTTGAAAAGGAATGACAAGAAATAAAGAATAAAATTTCAGTTTATTGGACTAAAAATTAAGGCTATTATAAAATTTCAGTTCATTTACCTCTTCCGTAATCTCCAACTGCATGAATAAAGGCCTGAAAGCTTGGTGTTCTAACGGCATTAAAAGCTAACCCAACCTCATATCCCCACTCGGCAAATTTATCCCAAGCAATCTCCTTCAATTTCTGCTTAGTTGGATTATGTTTATCCAACGTTGATTGTTTCATCTTCTCATGGTCGGGCTTTAGTAAGGTATCCAGTGATCCTCTAACATTAGATTGCTTAATTCTCGTCTTAGAAGCATTTGTGCCACTGCCTTGCCCAGTTGTAAAGATTGAAGCTGTGTGTCCACCTTCAGTTTGGCCATCACCATCATCACCAAGCTCACTTTCATCATCCCCATCCAGGAAAGCATTTTCCCTCTCAATTATAGTGTCAACTCTAGCTTTCTTTGCCTTGGCAGATTTTTTTTCAAGTAATGATTTTGCAACTATCTTCATCACTTCATTGGTTACATTGTTACAAGAAGAAACATTTCCCTTAACTTGTGCAAGGTGTTCTTTAAGACGGTGAATCCCTCCAGACATTTTCTTATCACAAAACTTACACCACACCAAAGATTTATTAGTAGGATCTCTATTCTCTCCCCAAGTCCATCCTATATCATCTGATTTTCTCTTAAGTGTAGCAGCAGCAGCAGATTCAGCATCATTAGAGGCCTGACCAGACTGATCAGAGTTCATGACTGTAAATTCAAGGATGTTAGTAAGCTTAAATAAATGATCATCATTCATCAATGAACTGACAGCTTAATACAATGAACTGACAGCTTATTACAAGGAACTGGCAGCTTAATATAAGAATAAAAATCAAACAAATTTGGCTGCAGCAGTTTGAATAACAAAATAACTTAACAGAAAGATTAAGGAGTTACTGGGGTGAAAGCAAACAAAGTGTCCTGAAGGCATTGTTAATAAAATGATTCACTTTTGGTAACTACTTACTACTACAACAACAAGAAACGAGACAGCCTCAGTAACATAATAACTAAGGAACTGGCAGCTTAATACAAGGAACTGACAGCTTAATATATGAATAAAAATCAAAGCTTAATACATAATAACCAAGGAACTGACAGCTTAATATAAAAATCAAAGCTTAATTCATAGATTCATAGAATAAAAGGAACATAATGCCTCAGTAACAAGCGAAAGAAGAAACGAGGGAAAGAGTTACCTGTAGCACCTCGCAGAGTCGCATCAACCTTGTAGCACTCGCAGGTCTCGCAGGTGACTCCCAGCAACAGTAGAACTGGTCGAAACGATGAAGCAACACTGATCGAAGCCCCAAAAGATGACCTAGACTGCCAGTCGCAGCTCCTAAAGATGTCGCAGCACTGGTCGAAGCCACCGCTTAAGGTTTTAGGTTTAGTGCGTAAGTTTTTTTTTATATACCGAGTAGTACCGAGTAACTCGCTTATTTCACCAACTTACCGAGTAGCCTAACTCGCCGAGTAATCGCCGAGTTACTCGGATAATTAACTCGGGCCGAGTAAATGTCCTACTCTGCAAGGTAGGAGGCCGAGTCGGGAGTACTCCCCGAGTACTCACCGAGTACTCGCCGATTAAATAACCCAGATACTAAACCACAAAAAAATCGCTATTGACAGGAAACTAAGCATACAAATGCACATGTAAATAAACAAGTGAACTGAAACATTGATGCTGAGAGCAGTAAGACTAAAGCAACGATAGTGTAAATTGCCTAAATAGAGGAAAACTTACAAGAGCACAAGAGGGAAGAAGTGGAAAATCTGCTGAACAGTTGCCATGGAGTATTAATAAGCGACGATAGAAACTTTGAGTTACTAAACTGATGTCCAGAAGTCATTACTATGGACCCTAGAAATGCTCAGCCGCTGAAACGCATAAGAGGAGGTGAAGGGGTAGCCTAGGAAAACCCTTTTACAGTTTCACAAATGAAATATCCAGAAAATAAGCTTCTGTAATGTATCATCTCTAATATAACGGGCGAACGTCTCTGTTAGTAATGGTAGCCAGAAGCAAGTTAACGATGTACAACAAAATAAGGATCAAGTACACTGCATTCATGCACAAAGAGACACCAATATTTTTTTATTCTCGGTTAACCCCTGACATTATTCACACTTATAATATTGTAGAGAATATATTACTCCGTAATATATTTGAAAAGTTTGAGCCAATGCAGCCCAGGTTCTATCCCACCCAGAAGCCCTTACTCCGTTAATCTGTACTCCCAATTCCTTAGCCTTGTGCGGATGTGTCTCTGGACCGTCTGCCCGTCTCGGCCCACGTATCCAGACCCAGCCCTGGCAGTCCAACTGCCCAAGTGTAAGCCATGCGTGCTAAAAGATAAAAGATCATTGAAGCGACTAAGCGAGATAGAGAGCGGAGCACGGGAAGGAACTGCCGAACTGAAGCGCGCAAATCTGCAACACGCCAACACGGAGTCCGGAGCAACCAAAGACGACGGAGGGTGACCACGGACCACTCCTTCGGCCCTTCGTCTGATATCCGACTCAATCTCCGGTGCGACGACCGACGGTCCTCCGATCACTCCTCCTATCTCCAGGCAAGCCGCTAATCGCTGAATTTAACTGTTCTTTTGATAATTTTATTCTCAATTAAAAATCGTTGAATTTTATTTGTTTAATTCAAATAAAATGTTTATTGAATTGATGAATATGCTGCCGCGGATTTTCTCATTTTATAAAGAGAGAATTCCCTAAATAAGAGTAAAAAAAATTTGAAATTTCAAAATAGGAATATCATGTTTTTTATTCCCTGAATTAAATTTCTTCCAAGTTTGGAGGCTTTAAACATGGCATTATTTTCCAAACATGTCAGAATTACTTCTACTTACGGAATAAAAACATGAAAGTCCTATTTTGGAATTTCAAAATAATTTTACTCCTATTTAGGGCAATTCTATGTTTTATAAATTGTTGATTTTTTGGGTAATTTGAGTTTGTACCTAATTTTATTGTCGAACTGGACTTTGCACCCCATTTTTAAAAATCTCTGTTTTTGCACCCAACCCCATATGAAAAGATGAAATGTCTCTATTAACAATTATGTTGTCCTTCAATGTAATCCTGATCGAAACTTATGTTACAATATTATACATCTATACTTAAACCTCCGAGCATCCGTGGCTCTTCATCAAATAATTTAATTTCTTCGTCAGATAATTTCATCCTTAACAATGAAAATAACTTTAAAACGCTTCGAAGAGAAGCTGAAAATTAAGTTATTCATTATTTAGTTTTCTATTTAATTTTTTTCTATTTTCTTTATTCCTAAATTCATGATATATAGTAGTACTTCAGTATGATTTCTGTGCTTATGTGCCCCTCCAAGTTACGAGTCCTGGTTCCGCCACTGCCTACACATAATATATTAATATATTTCCACTTTCCCTTTCTTATTTGAGAAATTCGATTTTTGAAGTCACCTACCCGAATCAAAATGTTTGATTCCAAGCCTAGTTGGTCACGCCGCCGGAATGCACCGGCTCCACCGTGTGACGCCATCACGCGTTCCCGTGGCCCACCGTCTCTATCCTGCATACTCTGCAGATGCTTCCGGAATCCACCGCCCGCGGTAGGACTTCAGACTTCACGTAAGTTTAGTTTTTAGTTTGTTTGAGCTTTCTTTTCTTCATCTTTTGTTTTTACGTTTTTAGCTTGAGCTGTAGTTTTACGCTTTCTATATTTGTGATTTTTGAGTATTAATCCCATTATTATTATTATTATTATTATTATTATTATTAATGTAATTGAAAATCGTGTGTCATTGTTTAGGATTAACAACACATTCCCATTAAGTATTGTGAATATTAATCTCATTGTTTTTAGTATTATTATAAAGACCTTTTTAGTATGTTGACTTATCATACTATGTGGTGGATTATTGTAGAGTTGAAATAACCAATAAATATTGGTTTAGAAACATACTATCCTCGTATCAAATAAAAGTGATGAAAAAACAACATAAAAAATATGGATGCGTTTTTTGTATTTGACAAGCGTAAACAATTTTCCTGCAGAGAACAAGTCTAATTATGTCATGTTTTTTTTTTGTATTTGATTTTGGTCAACACTTCTATTCTTTAACATTTGTAGTATTTATTTTTGTGTTTTACTTTTTTGTTACAATTGAAATTGTTTTCTTTATAGTGAAACTAGGTCTCCACTGAATTGAAAGCTAGATCCGCCGCTGCTACTAGAAATGTTATGGAGTTCTAGACACCTATTCAAACTATCACGCAGATCAACGAAATGTGGGTTTCTCCCATCAATTAACTATCCATTGATCAACACTCATCAAAATTCTTTCTCTACTATTTCTGGGAGTTCCAAAGTTATCCTAACCCCGCAAGTCGTACAATCTACTATATTGAATAGTCATTCTGATGTAATTTCTCTTTCCTTCTTCTTTTGGTGTGCTAAGCAACCTAATTACTTCCATGACAAGGCAACTTGTGTTCACATGGTTAATGTAGTCTCTCGCCTCACTCAGAGGTTTGTAACCATAAAAGGTGTTCTGGATGAATTGGAGAGTGCTGGTACTCTGATAAAGCCACACGTTTTATTACTTCTATTAAGAATTTACTGGCTTGGAAGAATGCACGATATGGTCATTGAGGCTTTTGGAGAGATTCTCAGGTATGGCTACACGCCAAACACATTTTCTAGGAACATATTGATGGATGTATTGTTCAAGGTTGGTTGCGCAAGTGTTGCACTTCAAGTTTTGAAGGAGACAGAGTCACCAAATTTCCTAACCTTCAGCATTTCCATCAGCAATCTGTGTAAACTCAAAGATATGGTTAATCTCCGATCTGTACTAAGGACCATGCTGAGGAATGGATATTATCTTAACTCCGAGACATTTTCGTCTGTTTTGAGCTGTTATTGCAAATTGGGTCAATTATCACAGGCTACCCAATTATTAGGTCTTATGATTGCCTTGGGTGTTCCTACATGCGTCATTGTTTGGAGTATAGTAATAAATGGATATTCTAAATCCGACAAACTCGATTATGCCAGTCATTTGCTAAATAAGATGGTGTCTAGTGGATGCATGCCAAATATGATCACATGCACATCTTTGGTGAAGGGATATTTGGAATCTCAGATGCCTAGTAAAGCTTTAAAAATCCTAGACACCATGAAGTCCATAGGGTGTTACCCTGATTTGATTATGTGCAATGTGCTTATACATTGTCTCTCAAAAACAGGGAATTATGATGAAGCAATTGATGTTTTCTGTAGTTTAGGGGAACGAGGACTGACCCCTGATTCTTACACACTTTCTTCTATCATGTCAACAGTTTGTTTATGCAAGGAATTCACCCTCTTGCCTATACTCATCAATGGATTGGATATACATGCCGATTTAGTTGTTTGTAACTCCTTTTTAAGCTTTTTTTGCAAAGCCGGTTATCCTAAAGGTGCTGTTGAGTTTTATAATGATATGATATATAGAGGTTTCCAACCAGACAATTACACATTTGCAGGATTATTGAGTGGGTTATGCAGGTTAGGCAAGACATCTCAGGCTGTTGATGTGTACGAGGGTATTGTCAAGAATCAAGATGGGCTAGATGCTCATATTCACACTGTGATCATTAATGAACTTATAAAATCGGGTGAATTTCACCAAGCCATCAGATTATTCAGGAAAGCCGCAAAAGAGAAACTTCATCTGGATGTTGTTTCATATACTGTTGCTATTGATGGACTGGTCAAAGGTGGTCTTGTTGAAGATGCGTATGTTGTGTTTAACATGATGAAAGAAATTGGTTTGGCCCCAAATATATACACTTACAGTTTTATGTTATCTGGATTGTGCGAGAATGTAGATGTTAGTACTATAAAAAGGATACTTGTTGAGATGGTTGATGGAGGCATTAAGCTTAACTATATTACTTTCCGGTTAATGAAGAACATTCTGCGCAAAAGACGTCATTCAAGTCTAGTACTTAATTTTTTCATGGAGTTGTGTGATAAAGCTGTTCATGATTTAAATGTCAAAGATGTCTTCTCAGATAACAACCACCATTTACTTGTTCTTGACACTGACACATCCAGCTCTGAAGACATTCTTGATGTAGCCGCTTCAGTAGGTTGAGCGCGGGTCCCACAAACAGAAATTGTAAAGAGTATGTAATCTTTTGGGGGTTGAGTATCAGCAGAGAGCCTTATCTCCAGCATGAAGCTCCAATTGGTTTCCAAAAGAAGACTCTTGTTGGCATGTTGCATCAATGTAGAACTATTTAATTGTGGTACGGTACAACTCTTGTAAATCATTTGTCCTAATATTTTTATTTTTTATATGGTAAACTAAATTCAGCATACTAACTCTTTTGGAAGATTTTTTACTTCGAAAAACTACTTTGAATTCAATTAAAATAAGTTTATTTTTTTGGAAACATACTCAATTTGGGATATGAATAGGTTTTGAAAAGGACATCTTTATGCTACAAAGGTTGCATTAGTTTTGAATTGTTAAATTTCCTACACCTAAAGCCTTTCGACTATCAAATGAAAGAATATAAAGTGGAAATAGACAAGCTACAATCAAACATATATTAAGAACATAAAATGGAAATAAACAAGAAATAATGAAGCATCCTTTACTATTCATGATTTTTTGTGGATTATAAGTGAAACCAAATAGCTCATGTGTTCACTTAGTTATTTCTCTACATTCATATTGTGAAAGTATTACTGTATCTAAGAATATGCTTTAGGAATATACCCTAGACATTATTATTGTATAGCATCTTATATAGGAATATTCCATCTTTGTAATATATATATATATATATATATATATATATATATATATATATATATATATATATATATATATATATATATATATGGCCTTAACCCTCCAATGAAATATACAGAAAATCCTCCTCTCCATGTTCAATATTATTCTAGTTTATATTTCAACATGGTATCAGATATAATTGTACAGAATACATCTAAAAAAATATGGGATTTAAGTGGTGATTCCTCAAGAGTCAGGATTTAAGTGGGTATCTTTTCATGGTTAGGATCACACGAAAAGAAAAGTTTGTTACAAATCGCATATCCAATCAACAACTGTTGTACATATATATTATTAGAAGCATTAGCACATGATCAGAATTATATTTTTCACATACTATTCAATTTCATTCTCCTTATCTTCATCTGTATATAGCTTTAGAAAGCCCGTGTATAGCTTTAGAAAGCCTGAACACTCTTCACCAGGAATTAGTTGCCTTTGTCACACCAAGGGTAATAGCTCTCATTGCAAGAATAGCCTGTACAGAATCATAGTTAGCAAGAAAACATTTGAAACAATTAAGCAACAAGTTTACACCTAAGCAACACCAATACTACTCTTTGAGTAGGTTTTTTCACTTTTCAATTCCTTGCGTTTACAGAAGCAACTCAATTTTGTTTTACACAATATCCAGAATTGCATTACCTTTAGAAATATAATATTGCAATTCTTGATACTTTTATCAATAAGATTTGTGATCCTCTTAACCAAGGGTCAATTGCTCTTCTCTGGATGAATACTTGCGTGTTTGAATTGTATTTTGTTTTTGAATAAATATATACTCCAGGGTCAATGATGATTGATTCAGTCAATGACATTACTAAATTGAAAGTTATGAGTTTCGGTCTAAATAAATAGATGTGCTGATGAAGAAGAGGGATATGAAGAAGAAGATCAACCCGTCTTCAGCCAATTCCCACAGGCATCTTGTTCTGAAATACGCAATCACCTCGAGACTAATAATAGTTTTCTTAATACTTCTCTGGCGATGTCTTCTTAGCCCCTATGACACCTCAGCTTCCATAAACCCTAGCTGCCTCCTTTCTGAATTGAACTCATACTCTCCGCCAGTTCTCCTCCCTCGTTTGGCGGCGGCAATTGAGGATAGCATTGTCTGGGACAGCGTATACTTTGTTCGGATTGCGCAGTGCGGCTATGAATACGAACACTACTATGCGTTCTTCCCTCTCCTTCCCGTTTCCTTATCCCTGCTCTCCAGAACAGGTAATTTCTGCATTTTTTATTTTCCAAGTATTATTTTTCCAATTAAAAATGAAAACTGATATTTTCATGGTATTGATCTTCTCCAGCTTCACTGATTTTATTGATTATACGTATATGTATTTTTCTTCAGTTTTTTCCCCTCTTATACCAATTATTGGACATAGGGCTGTTCTTGGATTATCTGGTTATGTGCTCAATAACATTGCATTTGTCTTAGCTGCTCTGTTTCTTTACAGGTAAGTGGTGACTATAGATTTGACCAATGTGTGAAAATAACTTTTAATGCTAATGTTATTAACTTGCACAACTATTCAAATGGATTATTCTCTATTTCCATATGATTGCAGGCTTTCAATAGCTGTTGTGAAGGACTCGGAGCTAGCACTGAGAGCTTCAATACTGTTTTGCTTTAATCCTGCTTCCATTTTTTACTCATCAATGTATTATGTCTATACCTTAAACCGTTGGATCCTCTAAGGGCATGTTTAGAATCCGGGAAATTCCAGGGAAGGGAGGAATGCTATCCAATTTTTATTTCGTTGTGTTTTATTTCACTTGGAAAAGGAAATATGAATTACGTGATTAATGTTATCTATATGATTACTTGATCTTTACATATTAGTATATATAACTAAGTAAATAAACATGATGAGTTTAAACACATTTTTCCCATCCAAAATTTCACTATAGTTTCCTCCCTATTTTCTTGTCTGGGCATTTTCCGTGTGCCTAAGTGCCTAACGAATCCTATGTTTTTCCGGGGCAGCTCTGGAGAATTTTCAGAACTGAATACTTTATGTTTCCCATTTGTTTCTAGATATACTGAGAGCCTCTATGCGCTTTTTTCAATTGGAGGTTTATATTACTTCACTAGTGGTGCAAGAAATATTGCAACACTTTGGTTTGCTCTCTCCGGGTTTTCAAGGTCAAATGGAATACTTAATGCAGGCTATATATGTTTTCAGACGATGCACTCGGTTTACACTTTTGCTGCTCTCCGTAAACGAGCGCCTGTAAGTGTTTCCATATGTCTATACACCCTTCTTAACGTATTACTTTTTGTCATGGTTTAATGCACCAAACCCCCTCATGATATTTAAATTTGGCGCATTAGCCCCCAAAATGCCTCAAACCCCCTTGTGTTATCATTATTCATGCACAAAATCCCCTTTTAGAACAAATTTTACAATTTTGAAATCATTTTTCTTAATAAATGCAAGTAACTTTGTCATGATTTCTAAATTATACAAAATACTAATTACTTTTCATTTATTTGGAAATTAAACTTGTTCATTGAAGGGATTTTGCGCATGAATAACTATAACACAAGGGTGTTTGACGCAATTTTTAAATCATAGGAGACTAATGTACCGAATTTGTATTTCACGAGGGGGTTTGGTGCATTAAACCCCTTTTTGTCATAACTTATTTTGAATCAGAATAATTTGAACTATAGAAATACTGAGCTGTTAAATTTTGTAGTCAAACTGAATCTTGTATAACGATGTCAGTTTGCTGGGGATCTTCTTGTGGGTGCTTTGCGTAGCCTATGTGTGATATTCCCATTCATTGCTTTCCAAGCTTATGGATATTACAATATGTGCATGGGACAGTCTACAAGGCCATGGTGCAAGGAAAGGATACCTTTATTCTATGGTTATATCCAAGGTCATTATTGGTAAGTTTTGTTCCTTTTTTCTTGCCAATATTCCTCACAACCTGTTATTGCTTTTGCAGAGTGCTATTCTACAAGAATGCATATCTATGTAAATTTATGGTCATAAACCGTAGGCTTAGATATCTTTATTTTCGTGCATATATTTCAAATATCTGCTTGTTTGGGTCCCTGTTTAAATTATTCATATTCATCCTGTAATTTACTTTATTTCCTTTTGGTTCTCTGCAAATCTGCGTCAACATCATTACAAAAAACTCTTGCAGCTCATAGAACGCCATTCTTTCTTTGCCACATCATTGTTTATAAAACCAGCTTAGTATTTTTTCAGAGGCCTAAATTGAAAGTGAGAATGGTGAGTTATGCTTAGCCACAACTTCCCAAATAGTCATTGACAAGTCACTGATAGTTGACGTTGATAGGGGCCATAGGCGTTGACGTTGATAGAGGGGCCATATGGCCCATATCGGAGTCTATTATCCATGTCAGTTTTTACTTGAGGTTCACGGGAAGGGACTGAAAAGAAAATAAGAAGTAAAATACTTGAGGTTCAGGTGGATATAAAAAACAAATTTAGAGGGACCTAAAACAAAAAAGAAAACATTATACTCCATCCGTCCTGCTAAGATTGTCTCATCTTTCCTTTTCGATCCGTCCCACTAAGATTTTCCCATACCAAATTTGGTAAAATTTGTGGTCGTAAACCAATCTTACTTTATGAACTCAATATCAACCACATAAATCCATTTTTCTTGATAACCGTAGTACCGCACCACTTCCTCATGTCCTATTGTTAGTGGGATGGAGGTAGTATTTATTATGCAAGGAGGAAGGACGTGTTTAGGATATTTTTAATTGAATTGAAATTTTGTTTTGGTCTGTTTAAGTCTTGTATGGTCTAGTCATGCAGATGTCTGTTCCATTGTATTTTACAACTATCAAAGTCTGGTTTGGTCTGGTCTTTTTAACTCTATCTGGTTTGGTATGGTCTTTTTAACCCTATCTGGTTTGGTATGGTCTTTTTAACTCTATCTGGTTTGGTTTGGTCTGTGACTAAAACTAATCCACCGATTAAAAACATCCATTAGACTAAGAACGTGCAGAAAATGTGTGTTTCATGCTTGTCTTCCAAAACATGACAATAATCCATGACTACTGTCTTGTTTACAGGGGAGTGGGGTTCTTGAAGTATTTCCAAACTAAGCAAATCCCTAACTTTCTACTTGCCTCCCCAATTTTATCCTGTGCACTCTGCTCAATTATACATTATGCGAAGCTACAGCCAGAAGTGTTTTTCTCATGGGGCTTTAGAAGAGCTTCTCCTCCTATGAGTAATAATGAGCAGAAGATTTCACCCTTTACTTATGGGACAAATGCAGCTGGTCAAGAGGAGGTTGCTGAGTTATTTGTGGAGAAAAATGATACCTTTCACAAACTACAAGGTATTGATTTCTTTATGGAAATTGCCCTAAATATGAGTAAAAACGTTTTAGAATTCCAAAATAGGGTTGTCATGTTTTTATTCCCGAAATAGGAGTAGTTATTGTCATGTTTTAGGAGTAGTTATTGCATGTTTTGGCTGTACCATACTTTAAAAATGACAGTTTTTTTAGGGAACATGACAATATTTTTTAAACTTGACATTAATTACTTCTATTTAGGGAATAAAAACATGACAGTCGTATTTTAGAATTCCAAAATGTTTTTACTTCTATTTCAGGAATTTTCCCATTTCTTTAAGGTTTTACATTATGAGACTATCTTTCTTACTGCCCATTGTGGCTAACTGAAAAACCTGAGGTCTACATTTTGAGATCAGCAACCTAAACGCGATATGTTTCTTGGTCATCTTGGGCAAACTTACTAATGTGTGTGTTAGGTAGCGATCACACTCTCAAACTACGGAAACAATACGCTGCTGTTAGAGGACATAATAATTCTGCAACAGAAAGTGGAAAACCAAATAATCACTTGGCGGCGACGACGGCAGGAGCTGTAATACCTATGCAGGTTCCTTTGGTTCTCCATCTCGGGTTCATGACTGCCACAGCTTTTCTCGTCATGCACGTGCAGGTGATCTATTTATGTGCATTCTTTATTTGTGTAAAACAAAACCTCACAATAATGAAAATTAAAATAATTCCTCCACTCATGGATGTACTTTCTTTCACATGCATGCCTTGTCTTGAGTTCTTGACTAGCTAGCTGGTTGATGATATTTTTTGTTTCACACACACACACACACAGGTTGCGACCCGCTTCTTATCGGCCAGTCCACTACTCTACTGGTTTGGTTCATACTTGATGAAGCATGGCTTTGGGAAGAAGAGACAGGGAGGCGGGTACTGCATTTGGGTGTACTGTTGGGCATACATCTTTCTTGGCACTCTTCTCTTCTCAAACTTCTACCCTTTCACTTAAAGCCTAAAAGGATTGGAGCCCCCCCCCCCCCCCCCCCACCTCCCCCCCACATACACACACAAAAAGAGGAAAAATGAAGATATGATAAATGTGATGCTGTGGCGGTCTCTGAGCTTTTGTCATATTTTAATATGGTTGAGAAGACAAAAAGGATGTACTACTCATACAGTTATTTGATGCGTCATTTCGATACCACTGTTAATGTGGTAAATGATCTAACGTTTATAGTAAGAATCATAAAGTAATTGAGTGCTCAATATGCTAGTTTTTCGATTTTCCCAAGATGACAGAACATATCTGGACAAAGTTTATGAATTAAGACAATATCAGAACTGACTGTAATACACAATATTATCCTTGAAAATGGTGGTCTAAACTCCGATGCTTTTTGGTCTTCATGCCATAGTACTTCAAATTTCCCAAGTTGATTACAATAAGTTTTACTATGTGAGTGTTTGGAATTGATTATGCGTGTACTTGTTTACTTGTTTAACAAGTAGAATCAGAACAAGTTTTTCAGAAATAATCAGAATCAGTCTTCCCCGGCTTTTGAAAAGTTGTTTCTAGGAGCAATTTGGAACACACATAGGTAGGGATGGATTGGGCCATTTCGCCCTGACTTGGTACCCGGCCCGGCCTGGCCCGTTATTGTTTTGGATCGGCCTGGCCTGGCCCGGCTGACTGGGACCGGGACTGGGTGTCCGAACCGGGGATAGGGAGGGCCGGAGGGGGCTATGGGACAAAGAAAATGTTGACCGGTCTGACCGGTTTGGGATTGATCAAAGCCTAAATGGCTTTGCAGCCATGTGTGGGATGGTCAAACGGCTCTATAGCTGTTGTCTGGGGGTTGGGAGGGTTTGGGAGGAGGGGTAAAAAAAAATCTATAAATACTCATAATTTCTAAACATTTTTCTACACCTATTTTTCAATTCTTCCTATTCTCTATTCTCTAAACCTCTCTAATTATCTTCATCTTCTCCAATTCCCTCTACACCTATTAATATATAGCATATCTATTTAAATTAGTTATACAATTATTATATCTACTTATACATTTATTATCTACTTATAAATACATATTTCCTCGGTATCTATATAATTGTCACTTTCCTTTTTTGGTGTATCAAATTAATTGTCTCCTTTCCTTTTTTTTGGAAAGAATCCCACTCAAAAAACGGGTCATCTAATTAGATACAGAGTGAGTATATTATATCTACTTATATTTATTATCTACTTAATATCTACTTTTTATATATTTGTTATTTACTTATATTTACATATTATATCTAATTAATATATTAAGTATATATATTAAAGTATTAATTATAAGTGTACTGCTCATCTTATAGCAGTATACTTATATATTACTTCCTCCGTTCTTAAATAAATGCAACGGTCAACATTTCACATTTGCCGAGACACAACTTTGACCATTAATATAAATGATTTTGTATTAGTAAAAAAATTAAAAAAATTAGATTATGAAAATTTACAATGAGACAAGTTTAACAATATTTTTTTCATAAAATAATATTATTACATTAATAAATAAAACGTAGTCAGAGTAGAACATGTGAATAGTGTAAAAGTCAAAGTGTTGCATTTATTTAAGAACGTAGCTAGTATATACTATAAACATTATATTATATATTAGTTATACAATTATTATATCTACTTATATACTAGTACTTATTATATACTTATAAATATATATCTACTTAATATATATTTAGTATATACTTGTTATTTACTTGTGTTTACATATACTACATCTAATTAATATATTAAGTATATATATTAAAGTATTAAATACAAGTGTACTACTAATCTTATAGTTGTATACTTATATACTATGAGTGGTATTCTCATGCGGATGGCCGCACAAGACCCGCCGTCCGTCCGATGGCGTTTGACCGTCTTTCCGGTAGTATTTTTTGATGAAATTTTTATGGAATGTTCTTCATGAAGTCTAGTTTATCCACACAAAAAATTCAGCTAAAAAATCAATTCGAAAGGTCGTCAAATGATTTTTGGAAGTTAACTGCGTATATTTTAGCGCAGTGAACTTCAAAAAATCATTTGACGACCTTCCGGATTGATTTTTTAGCTGATTTTTTGTGTGGATAAATTAGACTTCATGAAGAACATGTCATAAACATTTCATCAAAAAATTCCACAGGGAGAGCGGCCAAACGCCGTCGGCCGGACGGTGGGTCTGGTGCGGCCGTCCGAACATGAAAACTCCTCTATATACTATATACTATAAACATTATATTATATATTAGTTACACTTTAATTAATATTAGTTAAAATTATCATATTACTTACACACTCACACTCTCATTAATTAGTATACATTCATACATTTTTCCTATTAGTTACATCCGACCCCTTTACCCCACCGTAGGTGGGAGCCTTTGCGACACTAGGGTAATGATGATGATTACTACACTTGTTAGATTAAAATTTAAAAGTAGTTGGAATTTTAGTTAGTTAAACTATTAAAATAGTTACATTTTTAATTAATTTTACTACACTTGTTAGATTGAAGTATTAAACTAGTTGCAATTTTAGTTAATTTACTACACTTGTTAGATTAAAATATAAAAGTGGTTGCATTTTTTGTCAATTATTTATTACACTTGTTAGATAAAAATATAAACGTAGTTGGAATTTTAGTTAATTAAATTATTATAGTAGTTGGAATTTTAGTTAATTTTACTACACTTGTTAGATTGAATTATTAAAGTAGTTGGAGTTTTAGTTAATTATGTGAGAATAATGGAAAAGGTTACTCCCTGAGGAGCCCTGACAGATATATTTATATTAAAGAGAGTTTAATGTAAAGTACAATATTAATCCTCTAATAATTCTATTACACCCCCTCAAGCTGTGCGGGAGATACAACGCGCAAGTTGTCTTTTAAAAAATGAAAACGTTGACTAGAGAGACTTTTAGTAAAAATATCTGTCAGCTGTAGATGAGTAGGAACGTGCTTGACAATCAGATCTCCATGAGCAACTCGTTCGCGAATAAAGTGATAATCAATCTGGATATGTTTGCTCCGGGCATGCTGAACAGGATTTGCAGTCAAATAAGAAGCAGAAATATTATCACATAACAAATTTACCGGCTCCGTGATGGGATATCCAAGCTCGAACAGAACAGACCGTATATGAAGTGTGTCTTGAACAGTGTAAGCAATTGCACGGTATTCAGCTTCTGTAGAGGACTTGGACACTGTAGGCTGCTTTTTAGTCTTCCAAGAAACTAAATTAGGAACCAAAAAGACTGCAAAGCCTGTGGTGGACCGAGAACTATCAGGACAACCAGCCCAATCAGCATCGGAGTAAGCAACAACACATGTTGGCCGATCAGACTGCTGAAGCCATAGGTCATGATCTCGTATTCCCTGTAAATACCTGAAAATTCTTTTGACTGCAAAAAGATGAGTAGTACGGGGAGCATGCATGAACTGAGACACTAAGTGTACTGCATAAGTAATGTATGACCGTGTCAAAGTTAAATATTGTAAGGCACCTACCATGCTGCGATACTCACTAGAATCCGAAAGGAGCTCACCATCAGACAGAGACAGAGTAGTACGGGAAGCTAACGGGGTGCGAACAGGCTTTGACTGTATGGAGATGAAATCGGGCTAGAAGATCAGAAACATATTTATGTTGGGATAGAAATAATCCTTTAGTGGAACGAATAGCCTCGACACCCAAAAAATAATGGAGATTACCCAAGTCTTTCATAGCAAAATGATTAGAAATAACGGAAATAAAGTTGGTAATAGTGGACTCAGAATTGCCAGTAATAATAATATCATCAACATATAATAATAAATAAATAATAGTATTATTCTGGCGGTAGATGAATAAGGAATTGTCAGATTTACTACAGGAAAACTGATGTTGTAGAAGGAAGCTACTAAATCTATAGAACCAAGCCCGTGGAGCTTGCTTAAGTCCATAAATGGCCTTGCGCAAGCGACATATATGATTAGGAAATTGAGGGTGAATAAAGCCACGGGGTTGACACATATAGACCTCTTCTGTCAGATGACCATGTAAGAATGCATTTTTTACATCAAGTTGGCGTATAATCCACCCAAAAGAAATAGCATGAGTAAGTACAATACGAACTGTGGTGGGTTTTATGACGGGACTAAAAGTTTCAGAAAAATCAATACATGCCTGTTGATTGAAGCCTTGTGCAACTAATCGAGCATTATGGCGCTCGAATGACCCATCAGAATGATATTTAGTTTTATAAATCCACTTACAACCAACAGTATTCTTAGTGCCATCAAAGGGCACCAATTCCCAAGTATTATTATTAATGAGTGCATTAAATACATCAACCATTGCCTCTCTCCATTTTAAATGTTTATTTGCCTCAGTAAAACATGTAGGATCTGCAGGAGTAATAACCGTATTTAAATTAAAAATTGGTTTTGGTTTAAAAATGTCCGACATGGCTCGGGTTTGCATGGGGTGATGATTCATGACCATAGCGGGTTCACTCGAGGGGGGGGTGATGAGGGAACGTCGTCGGCTGAGGATGAGCTGCCGGCGGATGGACTGTTCGGAGGACTGTGGGATGACAGTGTTGATGTTGGTGAGGCTGGGCAGGTCGCGGACTGATGAAGGGGAGGGCTGGGATTATGGTCTGGCCGAGGGGACAAGGTGGAGTAGGCAGGGAACTGGGTTTGTGGTATAGTGGTGGACTGGGTAGGAGGGTCTAGCGTAATGTCTGTAAGATGCATTGGAGCTGGTGTAGGAGAAGTGGAGAACTAAGGGAAGGAGGACCGGGTTTTGGAAGTGTTTTAAAGGGGTATGTGTCCTCATGGAACCTAACGTGACGACTGACATAAATGCGACATGTAGTAGGATCAAAACAACGATAGCCCTTATAACCAGATGCGTAGCCAAGAAAGACACATTGAACAGAATGAGGTGATAGTTTATTAGCTGATGTGACCGAAAAATTAGGATAACAAGCCGAACCGAACACTCGCATAAATAATGAGTAATCCGGAACACGATTAAACAGTTTTTGGTACGGTGATAAGCCATTTAATGTGGGAGAGGGTAATCTATTAATAATATATGCAACAGTAAAGATAGCATCAATCCAATATTGACTCGGAACAGACGCTTCTAGAAGCATAGTGCGAGTTAATTCAAGTAGATGACGATGTTTACGCTCAGCAACCCCATTTTGTTGGGGCGTGTCAGGACATGATTTGCGAAAATAAATGCCATTAGTGGAAAAAAATTGCTGCATATTATTATTAACAAATTCTCCGCCCCATCACTTTGAAAATTTTTAATTTTCTGATTAAAAAGATTTTCAACCAAAGCT